ATTTCCAAAAGTTCATTGAAGAATAGAATGGAAAGATAATACAAATCTTTCCATGAACTTTTTGAAGACCCCTTATACTATGTGATTCCATTTATATAAAGTTCTGGAATAGCTAGTGCTAATCTATGGTAGAAAAAAAAATCAGAAGAGTGGTTGCTTCTGGGGTCGTGTGGGAGATTGGAAGGGGACAAGAGGGAACTTTCTGGGGTGATGTTGATGCTCTGTATATTGATCGGAATTTGGGTTGCACATACATATACACTTGTGCAGGCTCAGCAAATGGCCCACTTTGAATATATGTATTTTGCTGTATGCAAATATTACTTTTTCTTTTTGGTGGCTAGCCAGTGTGGGGATCTGAACTCTTGACCTTGGTGTTAGCAAATATTACTTTAAAAGAAATAAAAGAGAGCTGCAAATTTATATGGGACAATAATTAATGATCTGCATGCTGAAGTGTTTGGGGGGAAAGAATGGTGTCTGCCGCTTACTTGCAATACATCAAAAAATAATATGAATTGGGCCGGCCCGTGGCTCACTTGGGAGAGTGCGGTGCTGATAACACCAGGGCCACGGGTTCGGATCCTATATAGGGATGGCTGGTTCGCTCACTGGCTGAGCGTGGTGCTGACAGCCCTAAGCCAAGGGTTAAGATCCCCTCACCAGTCATCTTTTAAAAAACAAACAAAAAAAATGAATGAATGGATGAACGGAGATACAGTAGAATCTAAGAAATAGGCACCCAGGTGTTCACTGTACTATCCTTTCAATTTTTCTGTGTATTTGAAAATTTTTATAATAAGATGTTGGGACAAATACTTAAAATATAATTATATATTACAAAATGAAAATATAACTAATAATATTTAGGGATATAAAAAATCTTATTAGTGTACAGAATATATTAAGACATTTCCATGTGCAGGCGTTGTACTGAAATTACTGAGGCCTATGGGATACATATCAAACATTATCCCCATCTCACAGATGAGAAAACAGAGAAGCCTCAGGAAGCTCAACAAAAAAGCCTTACATCATTTTTCTGTCCAGGCCACACAGTTAAACAGTGACAGAACAAGACCATAAATTCAGATCTCTTTACCTAGTCTGTCTTTCACTGGGCCCAGCACAGCACCTTACACAAAGAAAGAGCCCAAGAGCTATTTGTTGAAAGAAAGAACGAAGGAGGGAATAAATTGGACCTGAAATGTGAATAAGAACAGAGGTAGCATTGCAGCCGGGGGAGTATTTATTTATTTATTTATTTATTTTTTTTGTGTTTTGTCTGTTTTTTTCCGTGTCCGGCAACGGATCGCAACCCTCAGTGTTGCCCCCGTACCGGGCCAGGGACCGGCAACGGGATTGCAAACCTCGGTGNGAAAATTTTTATAATAAGATGTTGGGACAAATACTTAAAATATAATTATATATTACAAAATGAAAATATAACTAATAATATTTAGGGATATAAAAAATCTTATTAGTGTACAGAATATATTAAGACATTTCCATGTGCAGGCGTTGTACTGAAATTACTGAGGCCTATGGGATACATATCAAACATTATCCCCATCTCACAGATGAGAAAACAGAGAAGCCTCAGGAAGCTCAACAAAAAAGCCTTACATCATTTTTCTGTCCAGGCCACACAGTTAAACAGTGACAGAACAAGACCATAAATTCAGATCTCTTTACCTAGTCTGTCTTTCACTGGGCCCAGCACAGCACCTTACACAAAGAAAGAGCCCAAGAGCTATTTGTTGAAAGAAAGAACGAAGGAGGGAATAAATTGGACCTGAAATGTGAATAAGAACAGAGGTAGCATTGCAGCCGGGGGAGTATTTATGAATGTTACACGGAAGTGTCATGGCCTCCACAGTTCTGCCAATGGGGGATTCTTTTTCAAACGGACCATCAGCAGGAAGTGAGTCTCCCACCCAGAAGCAGGTATTTCCTGTTGGATTTCCACAGGGCTCTTGTCCTGGCAATACAGGGGTGTGTGTGTGTGTGAATGTCAGCGTGCAGGGAACAGCTGCTCCAAGCAGGGCTGCAGAGACTCACAAAGCGGCTGGAATTGTTGTTGCGGACAGTCTTGGCATTGCCAAAGGCCTCGAGGAGCGGGTTTGACTGCAGGATGATGTCCTTGACGTGCTGGGGGCAGAGGCAGGCGGGTGGGAAGAGGTCAGCTGGGGCAGGCTTGGGAGAGAGATGAACTACTGTGCAATTGGGGGAGACCCAGTCCTTCCTTCTGTTCTTCTCGCCTTACCTGGACCTTTTCTCCTCCACCAGATACCTTGGAGATGTAGCCCATGATGTATTTGGCTGCTACTGTCTTCCCAGCTCCACTCTCTCCACTGTGGGTGGATGGGGGAAGAAATGATCAGTGGGTAGGGGTGGAGCGAAGGGCCCTTTCTAGTGCCTGACCATTCATTCACTCATTCATTCATTGAGCACGTGCTGTGTGCCAGGCACTATTCCAGGCACTGTGAATACAGTAGTGAACATGACAGATAAAAATTCCTGCCCTCCTGGAGCTGACATTTACAGGGGACAGATGGACAATAACAAAATGAATAAATAACCTAGATCGTGGGTCAGATTGACAAGGAAAGAAAAACAGGGCAGGGGACAGAGAAGGACAGCAAGGCTCTGTTTGGATTGGGAGTTCCAGGCAAACTGCCCTGGGGGTAATGAATGATGATGTTTCGGCAGGGGCCTGGGCCGGAGAGTCCGTGGTCCCCCACCCTGTACCTGATGATGACACACTGGTTCTCACAATCGATCAGCATGTTTCGGTACATGTTGTCTGTGAGGGCGTAGATGTGCGGGGGATTCTCGTACTGGGCCTGGTGGGGGAGGGAGGTCAGGTCTCAGCCCAGGGCTAGGGGTCGGGGGTCTTGGGGCTGTACCTCCTGCCCAGCCCCGGCCTCACCGCGCCCTGGTAGAGGTCGATCTCGCGGTCCGTGAAGTAGGGCATCTGCTTGAAGGGGTTTACAGAGATGAGCACCGGGCCGATGTAGGTCTGGGGGATGGTTAAGGGCCATGCCATGTCCTGGTAGGTTTTGTCCCCCATAGGCCCCTGTCCCCTTATTTTGCTCCCCCAGGGCTTCCCAGAGCCCCACTGTCGGGAGGAAGACATGGGGCTCTCCTTTCCTGTCCATCGTCCCTCTCTCCATTGCTCAGTCACCTTCCCGTCCCTCTGTTCCTCCCCCGCCTGCCCGCCGCTGCCCACAGCCCAGGGTACAAAGATGTAGTCGTCCATGAAGCGCTTGCGGAGGTTGCCCACGATGGCGTCCTCGGTGATCTGAGGCAGGAGCACCATGTCGTCCACGCCACTCTGCTTCACGTTGTGGCTCTGCCAGTGGAAACGCTCCTTGCTGCCCTGGGGGTGGGGGCGGCAGGATGGGGGTGAGCCCCTGCAGGGGACACCTCCGCTCCTCCTTCCTCATCTCGGGGACACCAGCAGAGGTGCGCAAGATCCAATCTGGGCTTCCTGCCCAAACCGAAGAGGCCAGAGGGAGTGATGGCTCAGATCCATCCCTTAGCCCTCTCTTTGGTCCCTCTGTCCATCCCTCCACTGAGTACCCTGGTGCCATGGAGGAGACAGAGATGCCAGGCTCAGCTGGGCACAGTGTGCTGGGGACTCCAGCAGGCTGTAGGAGAGGAGGAGGGTGTCAGGGGAGGCTTGGTGGGGAGGCAGCCTGCCCTGGTTCTAACTTCCGTCCAGACTCCCCACCCCTCACTCCCCCAACTCCCCTCTCCCTGTCCAGGCCCAGGCTAAGTCCCTGACTTCTCTGTGGCATTCACCTGCCACCCACCCATTTCACCTCGAGGTGGCCTCCTGCCTCCCACCCCTCCTCCTCTCTGGTGGTCGTGCATCCCATCCCATCCCTCCAAGCTCCTCCAGACCACCTGGTGGCGATGACCTCGACCTCCTGTGCCCGCCTGTGACTCTGTTCCTCAGCTCCACCCTCGCCTCCCAGCCCAGCCCCCCCGCCACATTGCCATGATTTTCTCCATCCTCTGAGTGCCTTTGCCCTGCCCCTCACCAGCTCCAACACTTTCCAAGGTTCCCACTTTCCCATCTCATTTCCTCCCTCCGTTTTTCATCAGATGACACCTTCTTTAGGCTCCATGGAGGAGACTCAGGCACGGGCTCCCCCAAACACCCCTCTTCCAGGAAGCCTGCTTGGGATGCTCTCTCCTTTTAGCCCAACTGAATACATCCAGTGCCTTAAACCCACTGGCTCTCTCAGGCTCACGACACATCCCTGCTAGGGAGGAATTCGGCAAACAGAGGGAGTGATGGCAAAAAAGAATTCCCCTGTCTGGTGGACTCATGCTTGGATATCACATCCCTCTTCCAGGAGGCCCCTATGCCAGATCAGGAGCTCCTGGAGGGCAGGGAGGATCTGTCAAATGAACAAGGGACAAAGGCAAAGAGAGAAACCCAGCTTCAGAGGAAAACCCCCAGAGCAAAGGATGCCAGGAATCAAGGTTAAGTCTTCAAAAAAACCTGTGTTTGCCAGGTAGATTCCAGGGAAAGGAGACAGGGGTGTTGGGCTGAGGGGATACAGGTAGGATCAAGCAGAAGGGTCAGCATGGGCAACTGTAGGGCAGAGGTGGATGAGACTGGAGCCAGTCTCTCCTGGGGGCACTGGGGAGCCATGGAATGTTCTTGAGCAGGGGAGGTGCACCATCAGATTCTGGACATGCTGACAGCCAGAGAAGGGTTTGTTGAGGAATGCCCACAGACATTAAATGAGCCTGGCCTTTGGCATGTGGGTAGATCTGGGTTCTAATCCTGGCCAGTTGACCTGACATTGCTGTGAACCTCAACTGCTTCATCTGTGAAATGGGAGAAGCAGCCCCAGAGTTGATGTGAGGATCAACTGCTTTGGGGAACAAGGCGGGGATGGTGCCCCTCCCCAGCCTGAGTGGTTGGGAGGATGAACCCAGGCTGAGAGACATTTGACAAAAGTAGCATTCACCAAGCACCTACGATGTCCCCGACTCTGGGGACAGTGGGGGGCATGTCAATATTATCACCCATCTTCACAGCATCTCAGTGTGGCACAGGCTAGGCAGGAAACAGGCTCGAGAAGTGTAGTGGCTTGACTAAGCACACTTTACTAGAGACACAGCTATATTGTTTCCAAGGGTGTGGAATTCGAACCCGGGCCCACCTGAAAGCAAAGAACAGGCTCTTGCATCTATACAAGAGGCTGGACTTGACAGCTGAGAAGGGTTTTGATAAAAAGCTGGGAGAAAGGGTGCACCAGGCAGAGAGCACGGCCCGGGCAAAGGTACAGAGGTGACAGTGGCAGAAACAGAAGGCAGAGGAGAGAGTGTGGGGGAGTCAGGGATCGAACCCTTCAAACCGCTCCCTACCCAAGTAGTGAATTTTCATATGGCGAATCTGACCCCATCTCTCCACGTCTGAAAACCTGTTTGTGGCTTCCCATGACCTTCTCATCCGTCCATTCAACAGAGAATTCTTGAGTACCTACTGGGTGCTGGAAACTCTTGGGTCTTCAAGAGGAACTCTTTCAATTCCCACTGTGTTGTCTCCAAGCCTTTGCAGGTACTGAGCCCTCTGCCCAGAACACCCTTCTTCCCTGGTGAATGCCAATCCATCCTTTAGGACCCGGCTCAGATGATGCCTCCTCCAGGAAGACCTCCCTGTCCCCAGGCCTGGTCACATGTTTCCTCTGGACCCCTACGGTGCCCTGAGTGTCCCTCATCATGGTCCTGTCCACCTACTGAACATCACACACAGCAGGCTCATCTGTGAACTCCTGGGGACAGGGGCTCAGGCAATGTCTGGCTATACAAGGTGGGAGGGGCTCATCTGAATGAATGAGTGAAAGAAGGTGGGAGCGATGCAGGAATGGAGGTGAGGCCAGATCCTGAAGGGCCTTGAGTGTCAAGCCAAGGAATTCAGACTTGATTGTGGAGGTCGTGACTTTACTGCCTGGGTGTGTGGCTGACTATCCTGTACGTTGGAAAGCTCCCTTGGGGTAGATGGAGGGGCACTCCTGGAAGTGGGAAGCCAGAGAGAGGGTGCTATGGTCCTCCAGACTAGGGGTGAAGAGAGACGGGTGGATGGAGGGGGACTGAGAAGGTAAAGGGATCAGGACGTGGTTTGGGTGTAAAGGTGAAGAACGTCTCCTCTAGATATTTTGTAATATGTAATACTTTTCCGTTACCCATTGTCACCCATTCCTCCCATCTAATTGCAATTTTGTACCTATCAACCAACCTCTATCACCACAAAGAAATAATTAATGTACCAGGTGATGAATGCACTAACTACTCTGACCCGATCATTATACAACATACATATGTATCAAAATATCAAATTGTATCCCACACATATGTACAATGACAACGTGCCAATCACAGGATGGTGACCTAGCAGGAAGAGCAGGTTGAGGGGCAGGTGATGTGCTGGGTTAGAGATGTTTGGAGGTTGGGGGTCCTGGGGAATATTTTTTGGGGGGGATTGTTGCTCAGGAGGCCTGGGGCAGAGATATGGGGATCAGTAGTTTGGAGAGTCCTCAGCAGGGCATTCTGCTCCTGGGGACACTTTAGGAATTGTGGGGACACTTTTAGTGGTCTCAGAGATGGGAATATGGCTGGAATTTAGTGAGTGGGGGGTCAGGAGTAGGGGCCAAGTTTACACACAAATGATTGTCCTCTCCGCAGCCCCCCCCACCCATTCCAGCAGATGCTCAGATAAGTGACTGATAGAGTCTGCATGTGTTGTCCCCCCAAAGCTCATGTCAAAATCTGATCCCCAACTTGGCAATCTTGGGAGCAGTTTGGGTTATGGGGGCGGATCCCTCATGAAAGGATTAATGCTCTCCCTTGGGGGCGGGTAGTGAGTTCTCACTGTATTAGTTCACGTGAGAGCTGGTTGTTTAAAGGACCCTGGCACCTCCCCCCTCTCTCTCTTGCTTCCTCTTGCCCTGTGATCTTGCACCTGCTGGCTGCCTGCCGCTTTCCACCATGAATAGAAGCAGCTTGAGGCCCACACTAGATGCAGCTGTCCCAGAACTGTAAATCAAATAAACCTTTTTTCTTTATAAATTACCCAGTTTCAGGTATTATGTTTTAAGCCACAGAAACAGACTAATACAGTCACAAACCTGTTTATAATCACCGGAACCTAGAACCAAACTGTTTTATGTATAAACAGAAAATCCATATATTTTTTGCACGATTGATACCCGCTGCATTATCCAGGAGTATGACTACCAGGTATAAAGGAAGTTTTTAATTTTGGTCAGATTTCGCCATGTTGGAAGCTCCTGTCACCCAAGGTCTTGCACCTGTGGGTGGGGCTGCTGCACCCCTGGAGACACACCTGTGTACAGGTGGGAACACTGGTGGCTCCACTGGGCATTCTCAGGTCACTGGCCTGAGAGCTTTCACATGTACAGACACATTTTATTCTAAGTGACTTTCTATTCTGCATTATGGGGGATCACACTGACTCTTTTGAATCGATGGGAGATGGTATGTTTCGTTGTCTGAGGATTTCATCTCAGGATTTAAAAGGGGCTGACAAGGTGTTTGTTACAAGGAGGGGGTGCTGGGTGTAATGCACTAAAAGCCCTGGTTGCATTGAGAAGGGCACGGGGAGGGCAAAGTCATGGGAAGCAGCAGTGTATGGTCGTTGAGAAAGGCTAAGTAGGAGCCACCTGGGAGGTCAAAGGCAACTGGGACAGGTGGCAACCCAGATGGAACAAGGTAGGTCAGAAACAGCAGGGAGCCATAGACCTGACCCTGAGCTACTGAAGAGTGTCTGAGCGTCTCCTTGGAGACTCAGGGGCCCCAAGGAGGGCGTGGGTGACCTCAGGGTCAGAAGTCAGCTTCGGAGGTAAGGAGATGTAGACCAGGAAATCTGGCTGAGAAGGGGAAGAGAGAAAGAGGCTGGGGAAACAGTGGGGTCAGGGGAGAGTGTGTTTCCTGTTTTCAAGATGGGGAGTGTGTTGGCGAGAAGAGATGGTAAAAATTGGGAACGAAGTGGTATGATTCATGGGGCTGGTGGGGCGAGAGGGGGTCTGCTCTTTCCCTGAGCCGGTGGTTGGAGTGGGGGACAGGCACAGCCGTGTGAGTGAGTTGGAGAAGAGGAAGTGGATTCTCTCTCTGAGCTCGAGGGGTGGGGCTTGGATGGTGACATGGTAAACAACAATATACAACAACAGCAAACTCCCGACTAGCGCTTGTCTCGTGCCACGTTCTGGTCTAAGTTTTCCACGTGAATTACTTCACTGCTATTGGGTCCGTTTTGCAGAAGAGAAAACTATGGCACAGAGAGGTTAGGTGTCCCCCTTAAGGTCACACAGCAGGAACATGGCAGGGCAGGAAGAGAGGACCCGAGGGAGGACACACAAAGCTGTGTCCCCAGCCTGGTCTGAGTCGGAGGTGGCTGAGATTGGTGCTTTAAGTCAGATGAGGATGGAGTGGGGACAAGATTTTGCAGTTGGGGCTAACCTGGTCTTCATGCTGGTGGCTCTGAGAACCACGGCCACTTCCTCTCGCTGGGGTCAGAGGCCCCGAGGCCAGCTATGTCTGGCGGGGGCTAGGCCTGCCTGGCTCTCCTGGTCCTGAGGACTCAGTTCCTCTTCCTGTCCTTCCCCATTCCCCTCACCCGGCTGCGTGGCCCCCTGCTTCTTGCTGCTCCTGCCATTCTCTCCCTCTCAATCCTGCCCTGGGCCCCCAGGCCCCCAAACACCCCCAAACACCCCACTGAGCTAGGGCTCCAGTGGATTGTAAGAACCATGGGCTATTTGCAATGGAGGGGGAGAGGGTTTTGCTCACAGTGAGGGGGAGGACAGTCACGCATTTTGCATGTGACAGATTAGGTTTCCAAGGCCTGGCTTGACAGTTGACCAACTGTGTGACTTTGGGGAGGCTGTTTAACTTCTCCAAGCCTCAGTTTCCTCATCTGTCAAATGGATTCCATAGTGACCTCTCACTTGGAGTCACTGAGAGGAGTTAATGAGTCAACACAGAGAAAAGATGCACTCAGGGGCCTTGGGAAATGGCAGCCAGGGACACTGACAGTGTTTAGTGGAAGTGATCAGTGTTTGACACAGGAGCTGGGATATACGAGCCGGTCAGCACATACTTGTTAAATGAATGAATGAATGAATCAATGAAGTCCCACTGGGGTGAGACCGCCTCTGCCCTGTCTCATGGGTATCTCTCGCTCTGTGGCTCCCAAGTCCCCATAGATCAAGTTGAAGTTTGTATCTGAGTCCCTTCCTTGGGGATGGGGGTGCAACGAAGAGGCTGTGGTCACAGATGACCACAAGCCAAGTATGACTCAACCGGCTGAGACTCTTGTGAAAGACAGTCAGGGGCTGGAGGTGGCTGGGGCGGGAAGGGGGAGGTAGCTTCTTCCTCCAGCTCTTCAGAGAGGTCTCTCTACTCTTAGGCAGAAGGCAGCGGGGGCAGACAGGGTCAGCTTTCTTGGTGCCAAAAAAGGGAGGGGCTGTTTGTGGCCAAGGTGGTGGCTCCTGTGGGGCTGGGGCATTGGAGTCTTGTAGTGAACACACTTCCTGAGCCTCTACTGTGCATGGAGGTAGGTGGAGACCAGGCTTGGGTGGACTGGGCTTAGACCCTGCTCTTGGGGAACTCGGTGTACCCCAAGTGGGTAAGAGGGTTTCCCAAGGCACACCATGTTGGAAAGTGCTAAGGGGTGGTGTGGGCATCAGCCAGGGTTTCCTGCAGGAGGCGGGCCTTGCAACATGACCTTCCCAGGAAGAATCAGTGGTATGAGCAGGAAGGCCCTGGGTGTGTGTAGGATGACAGGATTCTAGTGTCTTTAGACTAGAGAATCCAGGTCCAGATGAAGCTAGAGGGATGGGAAGCCCAGGGCATCTGGGGCTCACATACCCCCCGGGGCTCTCTCACCTCATAGGAGGAGGGGAGGTTACTCACAGTGTGGCCTTGGGAGCCATCGAGTTGAAATCCTCTTCCACTTTGGATTATAGAGCAACTCACCTAACCTCCCTACCTCAGTTTCCTCCTTTGGAAAATGGGAACATTGAGAGCCACAGACCTCAAGGGGCTACCGTGCAGATTGAACGAGGCCAAGGTTGCCAAGCACAAACGCTAGCTGTCCTCACGGTCACCACCAGCAGCAGCCTTGGGCTGGCCAGCCCACAGGCCCAGGGCCCAGGGCCAGCAGGAAGGGCTGGATGGGGCAGCTTTTGCAACTTGCCCCAACTGCTCCAGCTTCTCTGCTCCTGAGCGGTAATGAGCAAGAGCCCCAGACTGGACAGCCACTTCCTTCCTCGCTGAGGTCCTGTGAGCTGTGGTTGCCAGGAGGAGATGTGAAGCCACTGCGGCTGCTGCCAGGGCCAGCGCTCAGTTCCTAGGCCCCGCCTTGCCCCCAGGGGTGCCCCTGCAGCCTTGGTCCTGCCCTCCCCCAGCTCAGCAGTGTTATGGGGCCACACCCTGCAAAAGGCTCCCAGCGTCTCCTCCTCCCTTGGGGGAATGGTGGCTCTCAGTTTTCTCTTGATCTAGCCAGAGGCCATTACCCAATGTGTGGGGACCCTTGTCTTTCTGGAGCTGGGGAACCCCTCCTGCTCTTTGTGGAGGAGCCTCTGGGATGGGGCCGCAGCCCCCAAGGCAGAAACCTGCCTGTCCTTGGATCGGTGCTGCTGTCACCCTTTGCATCCCATCAATTGCAGGTCTCATTGATTCTTCCCCCTAAATCTCTCTCAATTTCCAGTATTTTCTGTCCATCCCCAAGGCCATTGCCCCTGGACCCAGCAGCTGCATATTGTTTTCCCTGCTTTGTGTCTGTACCTTAAAAACAATGACCATTACCCTTGTCTCACCACCATCACCGACGGAGGGCAACCAGTGGCTACCTCCACTTCCCCACCCCCCAACAAAGTCAAGGAGAAACTGCTACTAACCCCAATGCCAGCACCACCAGTCAACGTCAAACAGAAACAACAACCAGTTCCACCACCAGTCAATCACCTGTCACTATCAGCACCACCAACCCATAATAACCAACCACCATCAACATACTAGCCTTTAACAACCACACACACCGACTGCCGTTAGTAACCCCGCGAAGCAGAAATCATCAACCAGATTCCATTCAGAAACCAGTAATGAACACCAAGGTCAAGGGTTCAGATCCCTGTACCGGCCAGCCTCCAAACAACAACAACAAAAGACAAACACACAAAAAACCCAGCCACGATTTGCCACCACCATGACCAATCACCGTCGCCAGAAACCAACAATGAGCTACCAATGACAAACGAATACGACCAACACCACCCAGCTCCAAATCGCAGCAGCCACCGACTGCTCTCATTCTACTGGTCACCGAGCACTGCCAACGTTTCCAGCTGAAAACAGCCACCCCCCAGCAACCAACACCGAACACCAGCTCCGCCAAAGATGGCTACCACAACCACCACTCCACCCCCAAGAACCACTGTCACCGCCAACCTACAACCACCATGGCAACGACCACCGTCACAGCCAATGACTCCAACAACCCAACAATGACCACCCACAGCAACTCCTCCACAATAACCAAAGATGAGTCACTGTGTCCCATCGCCATTGGTGAGTCAGGCAACGGAGCAGCATTGCTCATGGGGGCAGCTACAGTGTACTGTGTGTATCACTCTGTAAAGGACTTGGACGTTGCTTCATTGAGTCCTTCCACAGTCTTCTTGGCATCCACCGTCCCTCCAGGAAGATTTCAGCACCTCCAGGTGGAGGTGCTGGCTGCACAGACGGGCTTCTCTCTTTTTCCCTTCTTTCATTCTCTTTGATGTGTTTCTCCCCTACAGACCCCGTCTGCCAACAGCACTGTTGACTAAGCATTTTACACAGCGTTCCTAGGAGGGGTTGCTTTTCTCTCAAGTAGCAAATCATATTTCCTGTGTTCTTTTGATCAAAGTCTGCCCATCTGAGCTCCGGAGCCTCCTGGGCTTGGCTCTGTCCTGGCAGAGTTCCCATCACAAGCTCAGAGCTCTGGCTCATTTCCTGTGTTCTTTTGATCAAAGTCTGCCCATCTGAGCTCTGGAGCCTCCTGGGCTTGGCTCTGTCCTGGCAGAGTTCCCATCACAAGCTCAGAGCTCTGGCTGGTGGCCTGGCTGTGGATGACCCAGAGGGGTTGGCCGGCGATGCCTGATTTATCCCTGGCTTTCTAAAAGAAGATGTTCTCTCTCAGGTGAATGCGCCTCCCTGCCTCCACCCTGTCTGCTGTCACTGCTAAGAAACCTGCAGTTGTCCCAGTCCCAGCCGCATGCTCTTGTCCTCATTGACAGAATGACAAAAACTGAAAGCTGAAGTGGGTTGTAGATGCATGAACCTGCGGGGTCACCTTTTATAGCCTCTTACTGTGGGTGTTATGATGTTGCTGGGTGTAGACTCATGGTTGTGACAGTCTTCCCAAACTTGTCACCATCATCAGCAGACCTCAACTTCAACAGGCAGCGATACGTCTGGCTGCAGTATCTCTGCTGGCATCGTTGCATGGGTGGCCACCAGTGGCGGCAAGGACACACTCAGTCTACCATCTCCTGCCTTTGTGATTGCTACAGCCAAACCACCTGTCAACCACACAGGCATGCTGTCATTACATCAGTGCCTGCTAGACACAGCTTCCCCTTCCAGCTGTGGATGGAGAGTGGCCGAGCCTGCAGACCCTCTGAACGTTCAAAAAGAAAGACCCCCAAAGAACAACTTTCATATCTAGAATGACTTCCAAATATGACATCTGTGGGGACTGAGGCCAAGAGAGGGGAAGTGACTTGCCCAAGGCCCCACAGGGAGATGAAGGACTTAGCTGGGCTAGAAACTGGGTCCCCTAACCTTCAGGAAAGGGGTACATCCCTGTCCTTGCAGACTCTGTGTGTTCCCTCAAGGCCACCTTCTGTCTTCCAGTTATTGCTCCATCTGTGGTCTCACGTCGCCGCTTTGGAAGACTCCCCACCATCAGATGGGAGCTTGGTCTCTGGTAAGGGATGCTGGGGGCACCGGAGACACACTGAGGGCTCCCAAAGTGTCTTCTGTGCCTCTCATCCTGCGCCCCACTTTCTGGTGGTGGTCTTCAAAGCACCTCCACCCGGCTGGTGACCCCCACCTCTGCACTTCCAGAACCCATCCTTGAAGGACTTACCATGGTGGGCGTTGGCCTCTGGGCTCCTGGGGGCACCCGAGTAGGTCGTGTGACAGGGCCGCAGGCTCAGGGGGCTCTTGGGGGCACCCGAGTAGGTCGTGTGACAGGGCCGCAGGCTCAGGGGGCTCTTGGGGGCGGCTTGGGCATGGCCCTACTCCTCCTTCACCTGACTCCCAGCCTGAGTTCCTCTTACAACAGCCCCCCCCCCCCCCCCCC